TTGTTCCCTAAGCGTGTTCCTTGGGTCACAGATCATATGTGTGGGGGGCAGAGGGGGGGTTGCGGGGTTCCTTAGGTCAAATGGGCCACCTCAACCCACAGCTTTATTGATTCACATGAAAACATTAAAACAGTGAAAATAATTTAGAATAACTATCTTCATATAAATATACAGAAAGGTATTTTTTAATTCACAAACCAGTTATATAAACAAAGAGAACTTTTGTTTCAGTGCCATTGCAATCTTGTTAACTATAAAGCTTATGTTAACTAAACATGTTTAAAAAAAAAAAAAAGATTGAGTCAAAAGAGCAAATCATCTAACAAATAGATTGACACGCAGAAGAAAATAGGCTCCTAATGCAAACCCATCTCTAAGGAGCGAGCCAGAAGCACTCCACAAATGAAACCAGAGGCAGCAATGCCAGGCCTGCTCGCAGTGGGTGAACACATCAAAAACTGGGACTGCTCAAAATTACCTAACAACAACTCTAAGTTTTAGAAAACGTTTTCCACACATGAAATCTGCCCATTATCCTTTCCAGTCGCTCTGACTTCATTAATTCTGCAGATGCCAAATTCTAATCAGTATATGCCAGCCTTTTCAAGGAAGAGCACGTCATGTATTATACATGAGGGCAGAAATTATGTGGGAACAAGGAAATGATAGTAAAAAGAAAACAAGACTAAATCACAGTGAAGTAACAGTGAAATCTAAAGTAATTTAGGCTAGGTCAAACTTGGAACTTGAACAACTTTTGGAACTTTAGATCTATTTTCCCGTAGAAACAGTTATCAATGACAGTAAGATTCCTAGGTGAACCCACACACAGACAAAAAACCCGACCATTTCAGAATCGCAGTGTAGGTGCCAGAAACACAGGTGATCCTGAGAGCTAAGAAGCGGTGGAAGGGTTTCATCGTCTTCCGACCCTACTCTCCCAGGACCCACCTACAATCTTCTAGAACAGTAGTTACATTTGATCCTTGAACAACACAGGTTTGAACTGCACAGGTCTACTTATATGTGGATTTTTTTCAATAAATACTGTAAATGTATTTTCTCTTATGATTTTCTTAACATTTTCTTTTCTCTAGCTTACTTTATTATAAGAATACACTACATAATACATATACAAAATATGTGTTAATAGGCTGTTTATGTTATAAGTAAGGCTTCTGGTCAATAGTAGGTTATTAGCAGTTAAGTTTTTGGGGAGTGAAACATCATATATGGATTTTTCGACTGCACGGAAGGAGAACTGGTCAGTGTCCCTAACTCCTGCGTGGTTCAAGGATCAACTGCAGTTACAAAAGTATGGTCCAGGGACCTGTGGGGTGCTCCCAAGGCTCTTTCCAGGAAAACAAAAGGTCCTAACTATTTTAATAGGATTATTATACTAAGATGTTTGATTTTTTTTTTTTATCTATCACTGTCCTATGAGTGGACAGTAGAGTTTATTTTTAAAGGCTACATGATGTCTGATACTTCAACAGACTGAATACAAAAGACAGGAGAGAATCCACTTATCTTCTATTAAGCCAGACATTAAAAAGGTTCAAGAATACAAAACAATGACACTCTTCTCACTATATATATTTTTTGCTTCGGAAAAATTATTTTTCATAAAGTATGTTATTTATTTTAATATGTAATTGATTTATTATAGTTATTTTCAATGAAATAGAAATGTTTCTGTAATTATCAGGCTTAATTTCAAGTGTAGTAACATAAATAAAAACTCTTTGGGGTCCTCAATAATGTAGAATAATGTAAAGGGTCCTGAGATCAAAAGGTTTGAGAGTCACTATTCGAGAAAGTAAAGACAAGGTCCCCTCTTCCTTGAAGCCACTGGTATGGTCTGTGTCAAGTACATGGGTCCAAGCCACAGCCCAGAGCTCTTACAGAGCCGAGAAATAAAGGTCTGGGAAGAAAATTCTGACATGGCAAAATTCTGATGATAAAAGCACAACCAGAAGACAATCTAGAACCTGTGTTTCCCCTTTTCTGTTCGTCCTCACCGTCCTAGATAAGTAAGAACTAGGAGCAGTGTCAGGGAGAAGTAGGAAGAAAGCCACCGAAGCTGAAGCAAGCAGAGTGTCTTAGCAGATGATGAGCAAGTGCTGGGGAGGCTATTTAACCAGAGCGGCAGTGAGGTCCACAGACAGAGCTGGGGGTAAGGCTGGAAATGTGGGTGAGGGTCGTGTTGAACGCGACCTTGAATACACAATCAGCTAAAGTAACCAAATTTAATCAGGCAAGGAAGAGGAAAGCTGAAGGATTTTCAGCCACCTGGTGATAAAATCAAAGTTTTGTAGACTCCACAGTTTTAAAAGTAATTTTATCTATTATAGAATGTGAAACATTTCAATATCCATAGTTGAAAACTCAGATTATATGACTGAAGATTTCAAACACACGAATAAATGAAAACTCACCATGTTGCTTCTGCTTTGGGTTATACATTTTCCACCACCGAAAAATTATAAATCCATCTTGAATTCTAAGCAAGATAAATTACAGAAATAAAAACTTAAGTAACAATGTATTTAACTCACTTCTTAATTATTTATAAAAGGCAAGCAACTGATAATGAGGAAATACAAAAAAATCTCAACAGAACTCTGGCATACCTAAATGTTTCATAATCTTCCAGTTAAATAATGAAAATATTTGCATAAATCTAAATTTGATTCTTCTATCCAGGTAAAATGTAATACCAGATTATATTCAACAGGAAAATGAACTGCTACCAAGAAAACTTTTTCTTTTATATATATATATATTTTTAAGATTTTATTGGGGAATTGGGGGAGGGGAACTGACAAGTTGCTGTCCTTTTGTTCTTCAGTCTAGTTGTGGA